TTTTCCCCCCACCCACTTATCACTTCTTTTCTTTCATTCTCAGCAAGATATCGTTGAAACTTTGATGAACATGTAATGCATGAAGGGCAGAAGAAACAGCAAGCAGAACCACGAGCCCGTTAAAACGTTGACACTTTGCGCGCCATTTCCTCCTTCCGGACTCGGGACGTCGCCTGTTATATCTTCGGCCTCGCCCGGTTCCCAATTTCCGCATGTCGGAAAACGCGGAGGAGTCGGGGGGAACTGCGACACGTCACCAACTTGGAAAAGTAGTCCCATTCCGATTTCCACATGGTACTCTATATGGCAGTGGAGAAACCACATGCCTGAAAAGGGAAAAAAAATACATGTAAACAAAAAACATTTAATTATATAAACAAAAACCAACCAAATAAATGAAATGAATACAGTGGAATCCGCTATACCGTAGAACTTTCCTAGACAACCATTTGTTCGAACAAATACTTTCAATCACCCCCCCCCCCCCCGCCGATTTCTCTGTGTAGGTTATAATGTTATAATGACACCGCCCCAGAGGACCACCTGTCTAAGATAACCTCTTTTCTCCCCCGACAATGGGTGACCACTATAGACAGTTGAGAGATGAAGACCATAGACGTTTCATGGGAAAGAAGGCATAAATCACACCAGAGAATCAGCACTCACCGCGTGTGTTGATGGGGTCATGCAAAACCTATAAACAATTGCTGGAACCATAGTAATATGGATCATTTGATAAAGATGTTACAGATTTCCTTCAATGCTTTCACGAAGAGAAAAGCGTAAAAAAATAAAAATAAATGAAAGTTACAAAAATTAATTGCATTTTTTTAATTTACAAAGTTAAGACAGAGAGAAGGGGAGAGAGAGAGAGAGAGAGAGAGAGAGAGAGAGAGAGAGAGAGAGAGAGAGAAAGAGAGAGATATACAGAGAGAGAGAAAGAGAGAGAGAAAGAGGAAGAGAGAGAAAGAGAGAGAGATACAGAGAGACAGAGAGAGAGACTGAGAGAGAGACAGAGAGAGAGACAGAGAGAGATAGAGAGAGAGAGAGAGAGAGAGAGGAGAAGGAGAAGAAGAAAAAGAAGAAAAAGAAATAGACAAATACATAATACATGTATTTCAAAATCACACTATAACCCTCCATAACACTAGAGACAAATAAAAAAAAACAATTCTGAAAATTTGCGCACTTTGTTATGATACCATATTCATTGCGAAAGATTTTGAATAAATAATTATATCTACTGGCATTGTAGCATTCGATGTCTCTTTTGTATTTCAATTTACTGATGGAACGACGAACTATGGCAGCTTTTAGGGTCATACTACGCTTTTTGGGAAACTGTTAAGAAATGGCCATGATGACATACCACTAAACACAAATTCCACCTCTACTGCAGGCTTCGAATATCCGAGACATTTCAGAAGCTATTACACGAAATAACGTCTTTGTTCAATAAAACAATTGCCTCACTGTTGTCTGGGACGTGACAGAATAAGGAGCAATTGGTAGGCAATTCACGCAATACGAGCAGCAGCATCGCAGTTTGTTTTTACGCATGTCGAAACGTTTGATGTACGCTAAACAGTAACCCAATGTGTGAACAACAGTGGCTCTCTCATTGTGTTGTTGCCAGCACATTATCCTCACCTGCTAATACTACGTCAATCTTCATTATACAACAATTAATGCCGCTTGCAAACGCAGGGCAAGCTAACAACTCCCTTAAGCTGTGATGTGTATCGATAATAAATGAGCAGCCACTTCCCTCTAGTTTGTTTGCTTGTTTATTTCCGGGATTCTACTTGATGTCTCTTATTTGAACCTCATAGAGGAAAAAATACATCGAGATTACGAGTTTAGTACCTTAACACTTCGTTAGTTCGGCTGATAACGTGCTGAACTACAGGGTAGATGGTTCTGGTTCGAATCCATTCGAAGCCATTCTGAATGTGGGTTGTTTTGAGGAATGTATGGCTCTCTACCCTTTTGGACTGAACCTATTGAAGGTAGACGCGGAGTTCCCGTCGCTTGAATAACCTTACTGTATTAAAAGGGCCGTTAAGGGTGGGGGGGGGGGGGGGGGGGGTGTTAAATTGACGATTTTTTTTATCAATTTAGGGTGTTCGGCCGTTATACGTATTATAATGCTCCAATGACTTGTAAATCTAAAAAGTGCTTATTTTTTGTGTTTCAATCATCATCTTTCAGAATTTCGGTCCTAGAACTTTCATTTTGCCGATAATGTAACAAAATGTCGTTTTTTCTCAAAACTTCAATTTTTGATGTTTTTTTCTCTTTTACCTTTTTATTTTCTTTTTAATTCCAATGAAATTTTCAGGGTTTGTAATTCATACCATAACCTAACTTTATACAGATGGAAAATAAAATCGATGCTTTCATGAGTGAGTTTCATGGATGAATATGTAATCGTGTAATCGAAATCAAAGGCATCAGGGGGTACGTCAGTTATCCATTTCAAACTATTTTTTCTTTTTAAGATATCCAAGATCCCAACTATCAATGTTCTAAATTTGGTTGGTAAATTTAAAAAATCCTTTTTAATTATATGAAAGCTATTTATTGTCAATATGGCGGCCGTTACCAAGGCAATCGTTAACTTAAACAAAAAAATTAATATTACATTTTCCTTTTATACCTCATTGCTACAAGGCTTTATCTAAAAAGGCCATAGTTACCGAGATAGGTGTATAAACCAGCCCCCCCACCCCCTCTTAAATATTTACAATTTCACAATTTTGCATCAGTTTTTTTAATGTACATATCGTGGTACAGATCCTAAGTGTCATACTAGGGCAGTAACAAACTTGACAGATCTCACAGCGAGAACTGCGTCCTTTTCATGTATTCCACAGAGAGCACGCAATCTAAATCTACTTTAGTCCATTTGGGTACTTTTTATACCCGAGGCAAAAAACAACAACAAAACAAACAACGACTAATTTTTGTTGTGTTGTTCCTATCAGGAACTATGAAAAAGACGAAAGTTCGAACCTTGACCATAGAATTAAACTACATTTTATTCTGATTTTTTAAATGTGCGTCCTTGATAGAGTTCTAGGAGGGTGTAAAAAGCGTGTTCTCGTTGATCTAAGCCTGTCTGAATGCCCACCGCCTTCTGTCTCTATTTGTCCCTTCTCTATCTATCTATCTATCTATCTATCTATCTATCTGT